GGGGGGGGGGCGGGTGTCGCTTCATCTCGCGTTTCAACTTGGGCCATGTGTGTCTGGGTTAATAAAATGTATAACAGGCTGTAATGATCACACAGCAGGTCAAACTGAAGTGCTGCTCCAATCTCGCTGTAAAAGTGCAGACAAGAGCCTGTCCTGACGCTCATCGATTCGTCCGCCCTCCTCCTGTACCTCGCCAGGTTCCACTCGTCTCTGTTGGACGCCTGCGGAGAAGGTCGCACTCTGGAAGGCGATCCAGAAACACGACCCTTTCGCAGAGAGTGGGCAGAAGCTGGCGAGAAAACATTGGCGTAGGGTAGCCGCTTCCGTGATCGAGGACCAGGACGTGGAGGTTTACACGAACGAAGGAGGCAGGGAGACCGTCCATGTGGCCATGCAAGAAAAGACCAAGGTGTGGGAGGAACGCGTGCGCATTGTATGCATATGCTTCAGAATATTGATCACGAAGCCTCGTGTGTTGCACTCACGTTCTCCTTGTGGGTCGTACGGTAAGGGTTAGCATCACGTTGAACCTTCTAGTAGTGTGAGGCAGTAGTCCCACGAGAACATTTCCCACATGACGTGCTCGCGTTTGGCGTAGAAGGTGTTTCGTCTATGCCGGAACAAGGTGCCACACTTTCATCGTACGTTCACGTCTGCTGTGAGTTTCTGGAGACGGAGTGGAGAGATTCCAGGCTCCCGCCACGTTCTGAACTGCTAATTCTGGCGCAAGATGAAATACTGCTACACTATGCATGATGGAGATACGCCTATTACCATTGTATGCATAGCACTGACATGGCCGCCAGGTATAGGAGCCAATGTGTTCCTCGCTAAACAGATGCCCGCATGCTTCACTCTTGCAAGAGTCACAAACACCCGAACAGGGTTACTACCGACTTCTCATGCAACGCACGAGCACATCAGTAGGTTCCCGTGTATGGCGTCGCCGTGAGTTGCACGCGACCCGAGTACATGTATCGGCTCTGACGATACTACTACTGTTGTAGTCTCGAGCAAAATCCCAACGGTTGCACGGTGTCTTTGCCCCCCCCCCTCCCCCCGCTGTACCGCAGAACCTGCCCTTCGAGACACTCATCAGTAGGTGCAACCAACTGTTTGACGATAACAGGAGGAGCAAAGAAAAGGCGGAGAAGGACTCCNGTTTCTGGAGACGGAGTGGAGAGATTCCAGGCTCCCGCCACGTTCTGAACTGCTAATTCTGGCGCAATATGAAATACTGCTACACTATGCATGATGGAGATACGCCTATTACCATTGTATGCATAGCACTGACATGGCCGCCAGGTATAGGAGCCAATGTGTTCCTCGCTAAACAGATGCCCGCATGCTTCACTCTTGCAAGAGTCACAAACACCCGAACAGGGTTACTACCGACTTCTCATGCAACGCACGAGCACATCAGTAGGTTCCCGTGTATGGCGTCGCCGTGAGTTGCACGCGACCCGAGTACATGTATCGGCTCTGACGATACTACTACTGTTGTAGTCTCGAGCAAAATCCCAACGGTTGCACGGTGTCTTTGCCCCCCCCCCTCCCCCCGCTGTACCGCAGAACCTGCCCTTCGAGACACTCATCAGTAGGTGCAAGCAACTGTTTGACGATAACAGGAGGAGCAAAGAAAAGGCGGAGAAGGACTCCGAGGGCAAGACCGGGGAAAGCGAGAAGGACGCTGAAGTATTCGACGAGGAGAACGACGAGGGGTCCGAGGAAGGTCGATCTTGTTCTGTGTTTTAGAGGCCTCACAAACCATGAAGCGGAACGGCGTTGCTACTCGGTGGTTGCCAACATGCAGTTGATCACGTGCCGCCAAAAAGCCTAAACTGACGCAAATTAGTTTTCGAAGACCTGAAGTCAGAGCCCGGTTGGCCCGAAGGGTTTCTTAGCATCATCGAGTGGTCTTTTACTTCATATTTCGGGTGTTGCTGTAGTCCTTCTCACGCGGGCCCGCCGTTCATAGGACGCGGCGTCGTCTCCCATAACAAATCTAGACCGTGCACTCAAAAGGACAACGCGTAGTCTTGCAAAGCTTATTTTTTCGCCAGCGGTACTGGCCCCCCCCCCCCCCCACCCACGACGTTTGCTAGGATTAGACAATAGCGTCGATAACTTTGGGAATGCCAAATGATAAACCCCCAGTTTTCCCCGTGGAGATGGTGCAAAGTCCGCCGCCAACCAGTGCAAAAAGTCGTCCTTCCCCTGGCAACCGCTCGAACTGGGCGTGGGCGTAGCGCCTACCTTGTCGAACTTGTTAAGGTGTTCGGGTCAGCTACATTCGGGGGTAGCTAGCAGTGAAGCCACTGAGAGCTACGCAAGAGCTATGTAGGTCACAGATTTAGGGGTTGCAAAACAACGGGACAAATGCCGATGAAACTCAAAGAGGACCAGCACGGTTGCCATACCAATGTTGCCTGACTGGGTTACGGTAGTAGTACGGCGTGTATTATGTGGATCACTGTACTCCCGTGTCCGGCGGGTCCTACGCAGTCCATCTTGTCTTGTGCTTTTGGTCGAGCAAAGCGGTTATGAGCTCACTCGAGCGAAGCGGACGGGTTTTTTCTGCCCTCCGCATTTGTCGTTGGGGCGTCCATTGACGCCCCCCCTCCCCCCCCAATACCCCCGCCAAACAACCAAACAGGTACCCTCGAGCCAACTGATGGTGTGCAAAGTCTACCACACGTGTCGCTCCCCCCACCCACCAACCCCCCTCCTCCCCGACCCCCCACCCCCATTGGTTGTAGGTTTCCCGGAGCAGGGTCATGGATTGATCTGGGCAGGAGCTTGCATTAACTTCGGAATCGAATGATCATGTGTTTTAGACATGCGCTGTCTTCACTAAACAGTTCGATGATGGACCTCTACGATATGTAGCTGTTAGTTCGGGAGGGCGACAACAAGCAGCAAGAGTTGGGAGTGCATGGTCTCTGCCGCCCTGACGTGCCCGCCCCACATGTCCATTCTTCGTCTGACATGTGCTGTGCGTCGTTCAGGATTGCAAATTGCTCAACGCTACGGCATGTCGTGGGGCCGGTATGGCATCGAAGAAGGGCACAGGCCCGTCGAAGGAGCACATGGCACAGGGACTGGCGTTGCGTGACGGTGCCCGCGACGGTTCGCCAGGCCGAGGTGCGACACAGGGTTTCCCGGTGGTACAACCGGCAGGTGGCAGAGGCAAGGACAGCAGCAGCAACTCCAAGTCCCGCTACTCTGCGGCCGCTGCGGCGAACAACCGGTCCCGGGGGGAGGATTGTCGGTTCCGACTGGAATCGAAGACCTCTGACGGCGAAGGTTCTTCTCTTTCGTTGGCAACCGCAACCGGTGAAGACGAGGAGGAAGAGGAGGAGCTATCCGACGAACCAGATGCGTGGGACGAAGACCGGAAGGCGACCCTGTTAGCAAGCGGCAAGGCTGGGCAGGGGACGAGGAGCGGGAAGGGTAGGGGAAAGCGGACCCGGTCTATTCCACCTCTATCCTCCACGACAGGTGGCTCTGCCGGCCTCCAAAACAGGCTGAGCAGCGTGATCGACTTGGTCTGCCAGAAAATGACCGCGCCGGCGGTGCCGACTGTGGGTGGTGGCAAGCAGGGAGGGTCGAGCAGCAGGACGGAATCGGATGAGATCAAAGACCTGCTCAAGAGGAGCATCCAGCGGCAGGAGCAGGTGAACCAGCAGATCTTCACCGCAATGGGGATGATGCATGGTGGCGTCCAACCGCACCCACTCGGGATGCAAGCGGGTGCAGGCACGCTTCCTCCCTTCGGCGGGTGCGCTGGATTCGGCCGTAGCGCCGCCTCGGCAGGGCTGGCTCTTCCTGCAGCTGTCGGAGTACCTCCTCGTGCGCAACCTTCGCAGGGTGCAACCGCGTCGGGTGCAAGGTCGTTGCCCGTGGTTGCTGGGGGCGGACAAGCCGCTCGCGTCAGTGATGCCTCGTCCGCAGGAGGGGGGAAACGTCGTCCGAGCTTCGGTGCTTCTTATGGCGGACGAGCGACTGGTGCAACCTCTGCAGTCGCAGCGGGCAGTGCAGCCCGGGTTAGGGCCCCGCGGAAGGCTACGCCTACCAAGAGTGGACAGACGCTCTGCGAGTGTGGTCTTCCGGCATCCCACAGTGAGGTGAAGTCGGTGAGTCTGTTGCACACATACTTTGGGGTTTTTGTCTACATCTGCAAGGAGTAAGGGAGGTGTTGTGGCCTTTCACTGACGAACTGGTGTCATTTAAATGTTGTAGACACGTCCGCGAACTTGTCCCGCATCAGGTGCGGAACCCCCAAAAGCCCCCCTCCCCTCCTGCCTCTGTCCATGCGCCTCGTTTCGGGATTGCACCAGTACGTCCTCGTCGGGTTTAGGGTGTGTTGTTTTTTCCGGCAGGCTTCTCGATTTTTGGTGATGGCGTAGTTGGCTCATGCTTAGCCAACGCCCGTGTGCCCCTCTCGCTCGGCTCTTGGTGCTTTATCCGCAATACCTGAGCCCCCCCCCCGCCCAAATGCTCTCCCACACATTGACACCGCCCTCTCAACTACATGCGTCTGTATTTCTGCGTCCTCCAGGGCACGAACAAGGGGCAAAAGTAAGTAACCTGCCCCAAGTTCGACCGGAATCAGATGTGCAACTTCTACAAGTTCCTCGACCCAGCCGCGCCTGTCTATGCCACAGGTTCAGGCTGAGGGGAAGGCAGCCGAACCGCGTGCGCGGAAGAAGGCTAGGCCCGGCCACGCGGCCGCGACGATCTCCTCGACGCAGCGACAGGCACAACGCGAAGCCCAAGGCCGAAAGCGTCAGGGTTAGCCTACAAGTACTTGTACGCTCTGCCGTCTTGTCTCCATGGAACAGCTTTTCTTCCTCTCTCTTCGTTTCTTTTTTTCAATCGCGAGTTGTATTGGACTCTGCAACTGTAGTACGGTTTATTGCCTCTGTCGAAAGCTCATCTGTCTCTTTTTGCTATTTTTTTTACCCTTATTCTTTTTTTTTCTGGGTACACTGTAGGTAGGATAGCAAGGGATGTGGGGTACTGTAGGTAGGGTCGGTGTTTTGTCGGCCACTTCTGGTGACGTGTCGCACTGTCACGCATAAAATTAAGGGGGGGGGTTAGGTATATCCGGGAGGTCTTTTCGTCTTGAAGTCGAGGTTTAAGGTTTGATTGCAGCTTGTCGTTATTTTTGTCTTCGTTAGCCGTTACAGAAGTTTGTCCTACCGTTCCCAAACCAGTTCCTTGTTGCAAGGTCGACGTCACTGCTCGTTTGTGGTCATGTTTGGTCTCAAACATTGCCTAGGCGCCCAGTGCCTGGAACGGTTGGTCCTTTTGATTCGTTGGCGTTGCCCACAGGCAAGTGTTGTTGCCACTAGGGCATGAGTGCCGTTTACAAAACCCAGTTTGACGTGGTCAGTTCGAGCACGGTACGCACCAATCCAGTGGTTGTGCTGCCTTTGCTGTGACTTGGCACATTTCTTTCTAGTTTGCAGAAGAATTCGTAGACCTGTCCTGTCTTGTTATCCTTGTCATAACTTGTTGCCCGCAGGGTGTTGCTCTGAGTGCAGTTCCCTGTCGCTTTGTCGGTGTTTTGTTTTGCGACCTCGGACATGTCGATCTGTCTACAATTCGGTTGTCCTGCTTGGTTCATGTCGTGCAGCTGCGTGCACCACCGAGAATGTTTCTCGGGCGTGTTGCTCTATGGTTGTTTTTCGTTGCTGTTTTCGATTGTAGTCTTGTTTCTTCTTAAGTACCCGAGTTCTTTTGGGTTAACAACCCGTTTGTCTCGCTTTTTTCTTCGCGGAAGGGCACGTATGTAGGTTGTCGATATTTTGTTTCGTTCGATCGCTTGTTCTTGTAGCACATGCCGTCGTACTTGGAGCATATGAATAACTGTTGCCAGTTTTCGTTGGCATACATGGTTCCGATTTCGTCCGAGAGGTGGCATATGTGGGGGCGATTTGGTGCCTTAGTAAGATTCTTCTCCGTAGGGTAGGTGTAATAATAGGGTCAGGTGGACCAGGCTTGATGATTGCCGTCGAATCGTCCCGTAACGGATCGGCCCCAGTGATCAAGCCCGGTCTACCTGAGCCTAGTGCTGCGCTGGCTAACCGAAGGTTCGTTGCCAAAAAGCATTGACTAAAAAACACTTGATAAGAAGTATTGAGATACTTCACAATCCGCACGGTGGTAATTCGTCCGCACCAGGACTTTGTGCACTACGAATTGTTCGCTTTGTATCCGACCTCTGACGTGCGCAGCATGTATGTGGGGTTATCTCGTCTGCAGGCGCCGTTCGGATAGGACCGTGTTCACCCAAGTGCATCGGCGAGAAAAACGATTTTGGGCACGACTTTTCGTGACGCAACCCGTCACGGCCAAGTCATACATCTCGACTAAAAAGAAAAGTTAGAAAATACAATTATGTTATTTATACTTGAGGTTGACTTCACATGACCAAACGCAAAGGCCTCATTCGGTGCCTTCTAACGTTTGTACTGGTCCAACTGACGCGGACACCTCCCGTGACCACAAGCCAACTACCCCCAAACGGGGTGCACCTTTTTAAGAAATAAAGACGCCACAATGGACACAAGAAAATTCTTCCAAGGCACGATTCGCTTTCTGCCCAAACAAAAAAGGACACCTAAACAACAACTAACCCGGATACAGGCAAACGACCTAGGTCTAACAGGAAGAAAGAACGAGAAACAAAGAAGGCAAATAAATAGAAAAGAAAGAGAAAACCCAGGAAACGAACAGGAAGATATACAGGTCCCCTCCAACGCTCCAGCCTACAGGAACAACCACGAAATAATCCCGAGACAACATTTCGATGGTTCGCATTATCAGGGGAATTCGACCGTACAACGGGACCTCTACCCCCCTACAATAATTCGGGAAAACAAGAGCAATAGGTAGCCAAGGTCTTAAACCCTAGCCCCCACAGTTATCACTTTGAAGCCGTGAGGTAACCTAAATCATCTGAACGAAACGCAGCTTGATGTCAACCCCTATTCCTCACGTCGATATGGCCATGTGCAGCATAGGACAGTGCGGTGCCAACTACAGCATCAGTCCCAAGCAAATTAGACACACGTTGTCACCCCTCTCCCGAAAGATATTCTTGGAGGGAAGGGGGGGCAAGGTCAAAGAATTTCACTGTCGAGTTTGGGTAGAAACAGCAGTGGCAATTCGTCAGAATACCAGCCACCGCGTACTGCTTTCCAAGACCGCATGCGCTGAGGGCCACCTGCTGCTTCTTCACGTAGTCGACGAAAGGCCACAACGCCACGACCCGGCCGAAGCCCCATTCGACAGTCACCCTTACTCTACTCATGAATGCCACCTCGGCAACAGACAACAAGCCCTTGTATGGCGCCATCAGCCATGGGGATACCTGGTATGCTGGGTCTCCGAAAATGTAGTACGGTGCGCCCGCCGCATCGTTGAATGACTGCATCAACGTCTCCAACAGCCCACTTAGCCCCAGCAACGCCACATCATGGCGCCTACCGAGCATAGGACCCCAATGTTGACTGATGATGCCATCCGGGGAATCTACCGCCTGATACTTCAATGAGTGTACACGCTTCCATCCGGTATAGTAAATGCGCGGATTTCGCCAAGGACGAGCAATCTTACGAATAGTTCCACCCAGGAATCCCCAGCACCTAGTGAGAGGCGATCCGCGGCCGGCAATGGCCTCGCAGAACGAATCGGCTTTGGGAACGATGGCGTCTACTTGCAAGTCATTCACAAGATCGCCCCAGCGTTCAAAGATTACCTCGATTGTTAGGTTGAAGATCTCGCATGTGAGCGTCTCCGACATCCCCCAAAATATCCTGTCGCGAATCAAAGTCGTCGGTGCCGCCAGCCTCCACAGTGTCACCGCGAACGCCAGCCTCGCTAGAACCCTCTGAACTCCATATC